AGAGACAGGGTTTCACCATGTTGGCCAGGCTGGTGTCAAACTCCTGGCCTCAAGTGATATGCCCTCTTCCACTGCCCCAAGTGCTAGGATTACAGCCGTGAGCCACGGCGCCTGGCCTTTCACAAGGACTTTAAATTACTTGATTCTTATTTCTGGGAACTAAGAATTAAGTTTTTACCCTGTATTTCTACATTTTGCTTTATGTAGTGTTTCTCAGCATTGAGTTGGAAGTCTTTACATAAGTTCAAATAAAAATATAGTAACCATCTGGGCTTGGTGGCTCATGCCTATAATCCTGCAACTTTGGGAGGCTGAGGCAGGAGAATCACTTGAGGCCAGGAGTTCAGGGCCAGCCTGGGCAACATAGTGAGACCCTGTTCCTAAAAAAAAGAAAAAAAATTTCTTTATAAAATTATCTAGATGTGCCTGGGCATAGTGGCTCATGCCTGTAATCCCAGCACTTTGGGAGGCTGAGGCAGGCGGATGATTTGAGTTCAGGAGTTCAAGACTAGCCTGACCAACATGGTGAAACCCTGTCTCTACTAAAAATATAAAAAAATTATCCGGGTATGGTGCTTGCCTGTAGTCCCAGCTACTCAGGGGGCTTGAGGTAGGAGAATCGCTTGAACCCGGGAGACAGAGGTTGCAGTGAGCCAAGATCACGCCGCTGCACTCTAGCCTGGGCGACAGAGCGAGACTCTGTCTCCGAACTTAAAAAAAAAAATTATCTGGTGTGGCATTGTGCACCTGCAGTCCTAGCTACTTAGGAGGCTGAAGCAGGAGGATCACTGAATTCCAGAGGTTGAAGCTGCCATGAGCTATGATTGCACCACTGCAATCCAGCTTGGACAACAGAGCAAGACCCTGTCTCAAGAAAATAAAATAAGGATATAGCAACCAATTATATGAGCATATTACTCTAAAATCATTGTCTCCTGTTATTAAGATGGATGGCTGGCGGCCGGGCTCGGTGACTCATGCCTATAATCCCAGCACTTTGGGAGGCCAAGGCGGGCAGATCACCTGAGGTCGGGAGTTTGAGACCAGCCTGACCAACGTGGAGAAACCCCGTCTCCACTAAAATTAGCCGGGTGTGGTGGCACATGCCTGTAATCCCGGTTACTTGGGAGGGTGATACAGGAGAATTGCTTGAACCCAGGAGGCGGAGGTTGCAGAGAGCTGAGACTGCGCCATTGTACTCTGGCCTGGGCAACAAGAGTGAAACTGTCTCAAAAAAAAAAAAAAAAAGATGGATGGCCGGATTGGGTGGCTCATGCCTGCAATCCCAGCACTTTGGAGGCCGAGGCAGGCAGATCACCTGAGTTCAGGAGTTTGAGACCAGCCTGACCAACATGGTGAAACCTCATCTCTACTAAAAATACAAAAATTAGCTGGGCCTGGTGGCGCACGCCTGTAATCCCAACTACTCAGGATGCTGAGGCAGGAGAATCGCTTGAACCCAGGAGGCTGAGGTTGCAGTGAGCCGAGATCACGCCACTGCCCTTCAGCCTGGGCGACAGAGCGAGACTCCATCTCAAAAATATAAAGATAAAATAAATAAAAAAGATGGATGGATGGAGCCAGCTTGATTTGTGTGTGTGTGTGTGTGTGTGTGTGTGTGTGTGTGTGTGTTTTTAATGCCCTTGTCTGCATTTCTCAAAGCTGGTTGTTAAAAATAGGGCTCTACTACATGTCTGTAATGGAATTTTCATCTCATAGATACTACCCTTAACAACTCAGGTTGAAGAATTTTATTTTATCTTAACACCTAGGTGCAGGCAGACTTTGGAAAACTGATTCAGATAAACTCATTCACAAATGACTGCTTTCTTTTTTCTTTTTTTTTTTTTTTTGAGACAGAGTCTTGCTCTGTCGCCCAGGCTGGCGCGATCTCGGCTCACTGCAAGTTCCATCTCCCAGGTTTACGCCATCCTCCTACCTCAGCCTCCCAGGTAGCTGGGACTACAGGCGCCTGCCACCACGCCTGGCTAATTCTTTGTATTTTTGGTAGAGACAGGGTTTCATCTTGTTAGCCAGATGGTCTCGATCTCCTGACCTTGTGATCTGCCTGCCTCAGCCTCCCAAAGTGCTGGGATTACAGGCGTGAGCCACCACACCCGGCCACAAATGACAGCTTTCATAAACCATGATTCTAGCTTACTAATTGTAAGTTGCATTTATTTCCTTCACCAGCGATCGCTCAGAATCTTTATTTTTGCTACTTGGATTTTCTCTTTTTTACCATCAGGATTCCAAGTAAGTTGTATTAAAAATAATCAAGTTTGCTTAGGGATGATGTAGGAGGGAAAGTAGTCTTTGAAGAGATGTATCAGGTATGGCAGCAGTTTTATCTGCTCCGTTATTTGTATAAAAGGGGACAAGAAAATGGAAAGAGCATAGATATGAGACCCAGATCTAAGTTTGTTTGTTTCTGAGACAGAGTCTCACTCTGACTCCCAGGCTGGACTCCCAACCTCCGACTCCCAGATTCAAGCGATTTTCCTTCCTCAATCTCCCGAGTAGCTGGGATTACAGGCACGCGCCACCACGCCCAGCTAATTTTTGTATTTTTAGTAGAGACGGGGTTTCACCATGTTGGCCAGGCTGATCTCGAACTCCTGACCTTGTGATCCGCCTGCCTCGGTCTCCCAAAGTGCTGGGATTACAGGCATGAGCCATCGTGCCCAGCCACCCTGAGTTCAAATACTAGTGCCACAGTTTATTGTGAGGCCTTGGGAAAGTTACTTATTCTTTTCTGCCTTTGATTCCTATAAAATGGGGGATAACAAAGTAAAGTATGTGAAGTTCAGTGTGTGATCAGCTTTCGTAGGTATTTTAGCCTCAGTCATAGCATGTTTAAGATAGATGGCCTCTGCGTAGCTTTCTGAAAGTGACTAATATTAATATAATTCGTTTTTGTTGATTCTTTCACCTTCATCTTTTAGACAAAGATATTTTTCATCTCCAAATCAGTAGTACAGTCTTTATGGCCACTTGCTTACTTATAGTACTCTTTACTTTAGAGATTGTATTATCAGCAGGCTGTATATTTTTCTACTTAGGTTCCTGCACCAGAACAAGTTGAAAAAGGTGGTGTGAGCAATATAACAGAAGCCAAGGTCATAGTTTTCCTAACCTCCATTTTTATTAAGGTAATTTAGAATTTTCAAGGCTAATAAATATTAAAGTACAGAATAATAGAATATTAGACTGTAAGAAACTTCTGATCTGACATTAACTCTCATTTATTAAGATAAGGGGATTGAAGCCCCATTGTTTTTATTTTGAGAAAATGTATCTAAGACATGTAATATTTTATAATGACATTTGGAGTTTTCATTTACGATAATAACTTTTTGTAATGTCAGCTGATTCTAATTGCGACAATACTGTGACTATTGTCACAGTAGGGATTGGGGATTGGAAACTTTTCTGTGAAATAAATAGCAGAAGGTGAAATGTATTTCTTTGTACTGTGTGTGTGTGAGCACTGTTTTAATGGCATATAATCCATTACATTGCCATGAAACTCTCAAAATTAAGGGAGCAATGTCTAAGGAATTGTTTCATCATGGGAAATACTGACAAATTTAGAGCAAATTCAGTAATTGTATTCAGTCTTTGAGATAGGAAAGTGTTATAAACATCAGTTGGTCATATAATGTAAGCATTTAATTATTAAATTCAGACAAGTTTAACTTAATCAGGATTTCTTTCTTTTAAATTGTGTCTTTTTCTATTTAGGCTGGATGCAGTCCCTCTGATATTGGTATTATTGCACCGTACAGGCAGCAGTTAAAGATCATCAATGATTTATTGGCACATTCTTCTATTGGAATGGTCGAAGTTAATACAGTAGACAAATACCAAGGAAGGGACAAAAGTATTGTCCTAGTATCTTTTGTTAGAAGTAATAAGGATGGAACTGTGAGTTAATTGTGTTTGCTACTGATTGATTTGGGTCATTTCTCTCTCTTTAAAAAATTGTGGGCCGGGCGCGGTGGCTCACGCCTGTAATCCCAGCCCCCTGGGAGGCCAAGGCGGGTGGATCACCTGAGGTCAGGAGTTTGAGGCCAGCCTGACCAACATGGCGACACCCCATCTCTACTAAAAATACAAAAATTAGCTGGGCGTGGTGGTGTGCGCCTGTATTCCCAGCTACTTGGGAGACTAAGGCAGGATAATTACTTGAACCCAGGAGGTGGAGGTTGCAGTGAGCAGAAATTGCACCATTGTACTCCAGCCTGGGCAACAGAGCAAGACTCTGTCTCTAAAAAAATAAAAAATAAATAAATAAATAAAAATTGTGGTTTAACATTGAGAACACGTGGACACAGAAAGGGGAACAACATATACCATGGCCTTTAGGGGCTTGGGGATGAGGGGAGGGAACTTAACCGACGGGTCAATAAGTGCTGCAAACCGCCATGGCACATGTATACCTATGTAACAAAATTGCACATTCTGCAGATGTATTCCATTTTTTTAAAAAGATAAAATTTTGGTTTAAAAGAACACATAAAATGTATATCTTACCATTTTTTTCTTTTCTTTTTTCTTTCTTTTTTTCTTTTTTGAGACAGCATTTCCTCTTGTCACCCAGGCTGGAGTGCAGTAGTGCGATCTCGGCTCACTGCAACCTTTGCCTCCCAGGTGCAAGTGATTCTTCCTTCTCAGCTTCCCGAGTAGCTGGGATTACAGGCATCCACCATCATGCCTGGCTAATTTTTGTATTTGGAGAGACTGGGTTTCACCATGTTGTCCAGGCTGGTCTCGAATCCCTGACCTCAGGTGATCCGCCCGCCTTGGCCTCCCAAAGTGCTGGGATTCCAGGCCTGAGCCACCGTGCCCGGCCCATCTTACCATTTTTAGGTGTACGGTTTAATTAGTGTTAAGTACATTCACACTGTTGTTCAACAATCTCTGGAACTTTTTCATTTTCAAATCTAACTCTGTATTCATGATTAACTACCCATTTTATTCTTCCCCAAGCCCCTGTAACCACCATTCTACATTCTATCTCTGAATTTGACTAATCTAAGTACCTCATATAAGTAGAATTGTACAGTATTTATCTTTTTGTGACTAACTTATTTCACTTAGCCAGCTAGTTCATCCTGTTGTAGTATGTGACAGGATTTCTTTCCTTTTTAAGAATGAATAATACTCCATTGTCTCTATGTACCACATTTTATTTATCCATTCATCTGTCAGATGGAGTGGTTGCTTCCACCCCTTGGCTGTTGTATTTGAGGCCTGTTTCATATAAGATCTTCCTTGTATACTTTCAAATTTATAGATAATGGAGGTTTGATTTTTTTTTTTTCCCCAAGACAGGATCTGCCTCTGTCACCCTGACTGGAGTGCAATGGCACAATCTCGGCTCACTGTAATGTCCACCTCCCTGGCTCAGTGATTCTCCCATCTCAGCCTCCTGAGTAGCTGGGATTACAGGCATGCACCACCACACCCAGTAAATTTTTTAATTTTTTTGTAAAGATGGCGTTTCGCCATGTTGTGCAGGCTGGTGGGCGACTCCCGAGCTCTAGCAATCCTCCTACGTTCATCTCCCAAAATAGTTTTTTTTGTTTGTTTGTTTTCTTATTTTTACCTCTCCTTAGTTCATTTTTCTCAACTGTATAGTATATCCATATGGTTTTAAAATATACATAATAAAAGGTTTCCTTTGTACTCCATCCCTCATCTACTCAGTTCTTACCTCAGATAGTCTCCTTTTCTTTTTTTTTTGAGACAGTTTCCCTTTGTCACCCAGGCTGGAGTGTGGAGGCATGGTTATGGCCCACTGCGTCCTTGCCTTGACTTCCTGGGCTCAAGCAGCCCTGGCTCAGTGATCCTCTCATCTCAGCCTCCTGAGTAGCTGGGACCACAGGTGCGCACCACCACGCCTGGCTAATTTTTGTATATTTTGTAGAGATGGGGTCTTACTGTGTTGCACAGGCTGGTCTTGAACTTCTGGTCTCCAGTGATCTACCTGCCTCAGCCTCCCAAAGTGCTGGGATTACAGGCATGAGCCATCATACCTGGCCTCATTCTATTCTTAAATTTGCACAGTTGTCCATTGTGTAGGGATGTGTTATAATATATTCAGCCATTCCTTTGAACTTGAATAATTGAAAATTATATTTCTTACAGGTTGGTGAACTCTTGAAAGACTGGCGACGTCTTAATGTTGCTATAACCAGAGCCAAGCATAAACTGATTCTCCTGGGGTGCGTGCCCTCACTAAACTGCTATCCTCCTTTGGAGAAGCTGCTTAATCATTTAAATTCAGAAAAATTAATATCCTTTTTGTTTTGTATATGGTCACATTTGATTGCACTGTTGTGAGTATTTATATACTTGTTTAAATTAACCAGCATAAGCTGGTCTTGAACTCCTAAGCTCAAGCGATCCCCCCGCCTATGCCTCCCAAAGTGCTGTGATTACAGATGTGAGCCACGGCTCCCGGCCTATAACCTTTTTTTAACCCGGAACAAATGATTAGATTAAAATGGAGCATTATTTATTTTTTAAGATTTTTTTGTTTGTTTTTGTTTTTTAAATACAGGGCCTTGCTTTGCCACCCAGGCTGCAGTGCAGTGATATGATCAGAGCTCACTGAAGCCTCAATCTCCCAGGCTCAAGTGATCTTCCTACCTCAGCCTCCCCAGTAGCTGCGCCCACAGGTGCATGCCACCATGCCCAGATAATTTTTGTATTTGTTTTGTAAAGACAGTGTTTCACCATGTTGCCCAGGCTGGTTTTGAAGACCTGGGCTTAAGTGATTCACTCGCCTCCTCCCAAAGTGCTGGGACTACAGGTGTCAGCCACCACACTCAGCCTTTTTTTTCCCCAAGAAGTGGTGCCTAACTTCACTCAGGCTGGAGTGTAGTGGTGGGATCACTGCTCACTGCAGCCTTGACCTCCTGGACTCCCACTTAGCCTTCCCAGTAGCTTGGACCACAGGTATGTACCACCATGCCTGGCTAATTTTTAAAATTTTTAGTAGAGAGGAGGTGAGCCACTGCACCTGGCCTTAAGATAAATCATTTTTAAAAAATGTGTATGGGCTGGGCGCGGTGACTCACGCCTGTAATCCCAGCACTTTAGGAGGCTGAAGCAGGTGGATCGCAAGGTTGAGATTGAGACTATCCTGGCTAACACGGTGAACTCCTGTCTGTACTAAAAATACAAAAATTAGTTGGTCATGGTGACATGCGCCTGTAGTCCCAGCTACTCAGGAGGCTGAGGCAGGAGAATCGCTTGCACCCGGGAGGCGGAGGTTGCAGTGAGCTGAGACTGCGCCATTGCATTCTAGCCTGACGACAGGGCAAGACTCCATCTCAAAAAAACAAACAAACAAAAAAAGTGTATGAAGTTCTTAGGCTTCATAAGAACTTTGTACTTCTTATGAAGGTATGAATTAGGCTAAGATAAATAACTGAGGCCAGGCGCAGTAGCTCACGCTTGTAATCCCAGCACTTTGGGAGGCCAAGACAGGCAGATTACCTGAGGTTGGGAGTTTGAGACTAGCCTGACCAACATGGAGAAACCCTGTCTCTACTAAAAATACAAAATTAGCCGGGCATGGTGGCGCATGCCTGTAATCCCAGCTACTCGGGAGGCTGAGGCAGGAGAATCTCTTGAACTCGGGAGGCAGAGGTTGCGGTGAGCCGAAATCGCACCATTGCAGTCCAGCCTGGGCAACAAGAGCAAAACTCTGTCTCAAAAAAAAAAGATAAATAACTCTTATGGCTTAAGGGCGTAATTATTCATAGAATGCCATAAAGATCTGTATTTGTTTTTGTGGTCCTGTAAATCAGATTACAAAATATTAAATAATAACATCATAAATTTATGCCATTCTGTATTGTGCTAAATATTTCTTCCTTAATTTATTTTACATCATTGATCTTCCATCAAGAGAACATGGAAATCTTTGCCACATATTGGGTGACTTTCAAAGAGAATAAAATACTATTTCCCTTGCCTTTTCATACTAGAGCAGTATCTCCTCTAGCTCGTGCCTATACAGAAAATTTTATCACCATACAAAATTTCATGCAGTATTTATGTTTTTAAGCACAGGTGTACCCAAAACTGTGAAAAGTCTAAATTTATGGGTTCTATACATGTATTTTTGCCTGATCTAGAGAAAGAGTTTGATAAATTTTTACCAGCTTTGAAGATGGATTAACTTTTGACTTTGGGCTTTAAACTTTTAAGTCAGACATTTCAGGACTAATTTGATTTTGTAGATATCATTGTAAGAACTTTATTTGAAAGACTTGATAAAGGGATTTGATTTGTTTTCATCATTTAAGCACAGTCTTGTGATGATGAGAATGTAAGTGTGATTCTTTTCTGTATTTTGAGGTCCCTAATCCAAAGGCCATTTTGCTAGGATTTTTTCTGCTATCAGATGTGTTTTCACTCTAAACCTAGTCTTTTATGACATGAATTGATTACTTCCTGTTAATTTTCTATCCTCCCTTACTATCCCCCTTTTTTGTTTTCAGTATTCAGTATTTCGGTATTCTAGAGTGGATTTTGATATAAAAGAAAATAATTCTTACATCGTCTTTTGCAACAAATATTGTTTTCTGAATTGATAACAAATTTAAAAAGTAGATTCCTATTTTCACATATGTTCATATGCCCCTATGTTTGGGGGCATCACTCAGTTTTCCCTTTTTGTGTAAAGATGTTTTGTAAAACAAAATAGCCTCAAGATGATTAATTATTTATATGGGAACAGATTTTAACCTTTAAGGTTAAAATCTTGGGCTAACAGATCTTCTGGGGGTTGGAAATCTTCCATTTCTCTTGAGGGTTTTTTTTTAATGAATGCTAAATATGTTAAAATTTTTGTTTCTACCTCATGTGTTTTTTTAAATTATTACTTGAAGTTTTTTAATAAATTTTTTTACTAATGGATCTTACTGTGTCAATTATTAATACTGAATAGTAATTAAACTCAGGGTTATCATAGTGACAAGTGAATAGTTTAATAGTAATTAAACTCAGGGTTCTAATAGTGACAAGTGAAGTATTGATCATGCTGGAAAGCTGAAACCAAGCAGCACTGATATTATTACGAGATTTATGAAGGGCACCCAGGATGGGCTTGTTCGTGGAGAGGTTATAAGATCAGATAGGACAAACGGGAGAGGTTGCTGTGATGAAACGTAAATATTGGTTAGATATAATGAGAGTATAAATCAGGAAGGAATCTGATAGTAATTTCAGTTTCTGGGAATGAAATGAATAAGAAAGTCCTTTTGCTTCATTACAGGTTCATATGGCTGGAAAAGTAAAGCTCCATAGAAGAGAACCTGGGGATGTGTTCTGTGTTTCCTTTTTTTTTTTTTTTTTTTTTTTTTTTTTTGTTGATCTGTCTTGGTGATAAGAGTCTAGCCATTTAATTGTTTAAAAGAGTTAGGAAGCTGGGCATGGTGGCTCACGCCTGTAATCCCAGCACCTTGGGAGGCTGTGGCAGGTGGATCACCTGAGGTCAGGAGTTCGAGACCAGCCTGGCCAACATGGTGAAACCCTGTCTCTACTAATAACACAAAAAAATTAACCGGGTATGGTGGTGGGCGCTTGTAATCCCAGTTACTCAGGAGGCTGAGGCAGGAGAATTGCTTGAACCGGGGAGGTGGAGGTTGCAGTGAGCCGAGATCACACCACTACACTCCAGCCTGGGTGACAAGCGCAAGACTCCATCTCAAAAAAAAAAAAAAAAAAGTATAAAGCCACAATGCAAAGACAATGTGACTGTTCCAGTGGCCCCTCTCCTGAATCAGTTCAGAGTTCCTGTCCCCCTCCCCCTGACTTCCCTTTTGCTGCTGTCTCCAATTCCTTTCTTTTCTCCTTATTCCTGGCTGTCTAACAGTGGGTTTTCCCCAGAGCTCCAAGTCTGGTTTGGTCCTCTTCTTTCTCCTTGGACAGTTACTGGCTTCACCCATCACCCATGTGGCTGTTTACTAAACCTGTACTACACCCTGTCTTCCAAGTTCTCGTTATATAGCTGCCTTCCAGCCAATGCCTTCAGAATATTCTGTGAACATTTTAGACTTAGTACAAAGAAATTGGAAATTTCCATCTTCATTTAATGCCTTCCTCCTGTGATCCCTATTTCTGTAAATGACATCATCTCACAGTTCTCTGTGCTTAAAGATCTTGGCATAATTTTTCTTTCTTTAAAACATTTTTGGCCTGGGTGCGGTGGCTCATGCCTGTATTCCCAGCATTTTGGGAGGCCGAGGCGGGTGGATCAGCTGAGGTCAGGAGTTCGAGACCAGCCTGGCCAACACAGTGAAACCCTGTCTCTACTAAAAATACAAAAATTAGCTGGGTGCGGTGGCGGGAGCCTGTAATCCCAGCTACTTGGGAGACTGAGGCAGGAGAATCACTTGAGCCGGGGAGGTGGAAGTTGCAGTGAGCCGAGATTGCGCCATTGCACTCCAGCCTGGGCAATAAGAGTGAAACTCCGTTTCAAAAAAAACAAAACAAAACAAAACATTTTTCCCCCTCTAATTACAGAGCAGTACATATTTTAGTAAGAATTTCAAACACTACATATTTTAGAAAATGAAATTTCCTTTTTTTTTTTGAGATGGAATCTAGCTCTGTCACCCAGGCTGGAGTGCAATGGCAAAATCTCAGCTCATTGCAACCTCCGCTTCCCAGGTTCAAGCGATTCTCCTGCCTTAGACTCCCGAGTAGCTGGGATTACAGGCACCTGCCACCATGCCAGCTAATTTTTGTGTTTTTAGTAGAGTCGGCTTTTCACTGTGTTGGCCATGCTGGTCTCGAACTTCTGACCTCATGATTTGCCTGCCTCGGCCTCCCAAGGTGCTGGGATTACAAGCATGAGCCACCGTGCCCGGCCAGAAAATGAAATTTATTTGTAATCTCATCCTTTAGTAATTACATAGTTTGGTCTATGATGATCTAGGCTAGTATTTAAACCAAAAATACCACACCTGCAATAAGAAAATCCATTTTACATCATGACTCAATGTAAATTTGTATATGCATATGCATCTGAAACAATACTGCCATAAGACAATATTTACCCTTTGTGATATACCCTGGTATGTTCCACTCTATTCCATTAAAAACAAAGTGTGGCTGGGCACGGTGGCTCACGCCTATAATCCCAGCACTTTGCGAGGTTAAGGTAGGCGGATCACTTGAGGTCAGGAGTTCAAGACCAGCCTGGCCAACATGGTAAAACCCCGTCTCTACTAAAAATAGAAAAGTTAGCTGGGCATGGTGGTGCACGCCTGTAATCCCAGCTACTCGGGAAGCTGAGGCACAAGAATCACTTGAACCCGATTCAAGCAGGTGGAGGTGGAGGTTGTAGTAAGCCAAGATCATGCCATTGCACTCCAGCCTGGGTGACAGAGTGAGACTCTGTCTCAAATAAAATAAAATGAAAAATAAAAACAAAGCTAATTGCAACCTGTTAAAATTGCTTTCATGTCCCACTAGTAGGTCGGAACCCATGGTTTGTAACAGTGATTATTCTTTAATGGGGTCTTTGTGTATTGGTTGTAACCATATGAAACTATTTTTGCTGTTCCTGTGCATGCCTATTCTGTTTCCCATTTGATCTGCTCTCTAGATTTGTCTGTTCTTCCATCACCATTTAGGCATCTCTACCCACTTAGAAAGACTTTAAGGTGCCACCTTCTCCAAAAAGCCTTTTCTGATTTTTCTCCCAGCCAAAAGAATTATCTTCATCTGCATACAGTACTATAATAGTACCCATATGGAGCTTCATAGTATTTACTGCTTTTATTTATTTATTTATTTCTTAAGAGATGGAGTCTCTGTTGGCCAGGCTAGAGTGCATGGCAGGATCATAGTTCACTGCAACCTCAGACGCCTGGCCTCAAGTTGTCCTTCTGTCACAGCCTCCTGAGTAGCTGGGACTACCAGTGCACACCACTACACCCTGCTAACTAGAAAAAATTTGTTTTTAGAAACAGGGTCTTGCTATGTTGGCCAGGGTAGTCTGGAACTTTAGGCCTCACGCATTCCTCCTGCCTCAGCCTCTCAAAGTACTTGGATTACAGGCATGAGGTACCACATCTGGCTGTTTACTGCTTTTTTTCTTTTTCTTTTTTTTGAGATGGAGTCTCACTCTGTTGCCCAGGCTGGAGTGCAGTGGTGAGATCTTGGATCACTATAGCCTCTGCCTTCTGGGTTCCAGTGATTCTCCTGCCTTAGCCTTCCAGGTAGCTGGGATTACAGGCATGCACCACCATGCCTGGCTAATTTTTGTATTTTTAGTAGAGACGAGGTTTCACTGTGTTAGCCAGACTGGTCTCGAACTCCTGACCAGGTGATCCTCCCACCTTGGCCTCCCAAAGTGCTGGGATTACAGGCATGAGCTACCAAAGCCGGCCTGTTTACTGCTTTTTTAAAGCAGCAGTTGTAATTAGTAGGATACTTTAATATTTATCAATATTTTTCATGGATATTTTCTCAATTAAACCCTATAGAGAACCTAGCATAGATAGTCTGTGTTAGCATATGACCCCATGGCAAGTGATTGCCAGAACCCACGTTTTCTGATTAGGAATTCTGCAGTTTTCCCGGCCACTATGTGTATCTCCCTTCCCCTGCACCGCCCGGCGTGGTAACATCTTCCAGGTGCTATACAAATGTTCAGAAGCATTACAATTGTCATTGTAAGAAAATCATGTCATGAGCCAGCTAAGGCTAAGGCTGAAAGCTCTGTGGCATGATGTGACAAGGTGGTCCATCTGGATTCAGTGGACCATATTGCTCATGAAAAAGATGACTTGTAGGCTGGGTATGGTGGCTCATGCCTATAATCCCAGCACTTTGGACGGTTGAGACAGGAGGATCACTAGAGGCCAGGAGTTTGAGACCAGCCTGGGCAACATAGTGAGACCCCATCTCTGTAAAAAATAAAATAAAAATTAATGGTAGCTAAATAACTCATGAAACACAAAGATGGGAAAAGAAAGGCCAGGTGCGGTTGCTCATGCCTGTAATCCCAACACTTTGGGAGGCTGAGGTGGGTGGATCACTTGAGCTGTGGAGTTTGAGACCAGCCTGGCCAACATGGTGAAACCCTGTCTTAAAAAAAAAGGGGGGAACAACAGACACTGGGGTCTACTTGAAAGACGAGGATGGGAGGAGGGAGAGAAGTAGAAAAGATAACCATCGGATACTGGACCTAACTGGGTGATGAAATAATCTGTACAACAAACCCCCATGACATGAGTTCACCTGTGCAACCAACCTTCACGTATGCCCTCAAACCTAAAAGTTTAAACACACACACAATAGTTTAGGGAAAAAAGTAATCACAATGCCCCCACCCACACATTGTAACTATTAACATTTTCAAGTACTTTACTCAGTCTCTTACCTATGCATTTATTTTTCTAACTATATATACACGTATATAGGTATATATTCATATTGCTGTATTTATTGATAAACTAAAACTGGGATCATAAGATGTATATATATATAACTTTTTTTTTTTTTTT